TTAGGAAGTTTGTTGGATAATCTAAGACACTTTCAACTCAAGAAACTCACATACGATGAAATTTTCAGGGAAAATCAGAGATATGGATATTTAAATTCATCTCATGTAGCTTTTCCAGTGTTTTGCCTGAGACATAAAGAAATCTTAGAGGACGGGAGAGAAATCGAATGGCCTTTCACGGAGGTCGGTTATGTTTTTCCAAAAAACTGGAGATGTAGAGTCAAATATGGAAAGCTTTCTCCTGGGGTGTGTATGTGGAACTACAACCATGGGGCACACATACAGTTCGACTCTTCCCAGTGCACGTGGACTGACCTCTGCCCAGAAGGATACAGGGCAGTGGCTAAAAAGCACTGTGTTAAGATTTCAGCACCTGACACGTGGGATGCTGGGTTTGGTGCAACATATAAAACTGGTCTGGAGAACAGCGTGCTTGATAAGTTCTCCTTCATGAAGCGAACCAGAGGGAGAAATCTATATGAAGCTGTCCAGAAGCTGTTAAATGAGAGCGAAACTGGTAGCAAGATATGGCTACCCACAAGGCGTAAACGGCCACTTAGCCCTTTGTTGTTCATGGGCCCTAACAAAACCGATTTTACCTACAATCCTAATGAATTCATTTCATGGGAGAGTGGTCATCCTCGTATAGATTATGAATGCTTGGCTCTGGACACAAACAATAACTCACTGCAGACTTCAAACTGTAATACGCATTTACCTTTTGTAGCTGTGATTGAGAGCAACTTCCTGACAGATAAGATCAGCAGATGGCCTTTGCTAATCAAGGGCAGTCTTTTATGCCCGACTGGATGGAATACTACTATATTTAAAGGTAAAGACGAAACATGCTTCAAGTTGTTCCAGGTCAAGCAAAATCTGACATGGCCTGAAGCCAGCCAGTTTTGCGAAGATTTGGATGCACAGTTACCCACGCCCTATGTAGGATTTCTAGACTGGGTTTATCGCCAGTATTTGTTCTTGAATAAGGTGCCAAATGTCTGGATGGGAGTAGAATGGAGAAATGAACGTCTACTCTATAGCGGTTCTGAAGAGAACCTGAACTGGCTAGCTGATACAGACTACTCGCAGCCTTATGGTGTTCTGGAACAGAATGGCTGGAAACTTCAGGGAAGAAAGGAAGGTAAACATCATATTCTCTGCCAGAAAATAATCTCTCCAAGAGTAGCTATGCAACTTCAGGTCCACGAGCCAGAGTCTGTAGGTTCACAGACCATGTGTATTGATGCAGAACCCCAGACCCTCTTGGCTGACGGGGATTATATCCACCCACGCTGTTATGTCAATGGGGAATTTACCCATCATGAGCGCACAGAAGATTCCGGTTGCCAGTATGAGCTGAAACTGAGTGGCCAGGGTTACTACCAGTGCCAGGCTTGGGCTCATCCGCCTTTCTCATTCGTTAAGTCAAACGTTATTTTGCACAGGGACCCAGCGACACATACCTTCGTCATCACTCTCTTCCAGGATAAACCTTACGTGCCCCGGCGTCACGACAGCTCCTTCATGTTGACGAATAGATCGAACAGGGACTCCGATACTTGTGCTGAAGTTTTCATGGCAGATTTGAGGAGTACTGACTTAACTGACAGATTCCGGTTTACAGATAAAAATTTCTTCTATATGCCATCTCCTACTGAGATGAAGCTTCTGCACAATTTCCATCTTGAGTGTGAGATTAAAGATACAAATACATTTCTTATGCCAGAGAAGACTTTGTTGAAGACTCTGAATGAGATGCTTCCTATGGGAAAGACTTTCTCTGACTGCAGACTTTGGGACCTCCGAAGTACGCAGGGTTGTTTGAGGGACGTCACACAAGATTTTGGCTCAGGCACCACTAAAGAACTCACTTGGCCTTCAACAAGCGGAAATGCCATAGTGCTTCCTGAACAGTTATGCATTACAGCTGAAGGGGAACCTGTCACACGAGAGTGCCTTGGAGACTTCTTTGTAGGATACTACTGGGGTCCTCCATCGAACAACTGCACAGGAGATCCTTCATACATTACTCGAGAGCTCTGGAAGATTAGTACAAATCCCAAACACTTAAGTGAATCCTCTGAACTGACCGTCCTCACTGCCAACAGCACTTCACTCCAGCCTGCTGACATTCACTTCGTTGCCCAGACACTAGATGCTTTCTCCAGAGATGAAGATATTTCCAGTTTCGATTTGGAAGACATCGTCGGAATTATGAATAATGTCATGGCGGCAAATGAAACTGCATTTGAACCAGTTCAGTGGAAGTTGAATTCTTCGAGCACAATCCTTGAAGCTTTCGAAAAGATGACGTTTAAGGTCCAGTTACCAAGGGAAAAAGGCGACCAGGCCAAAAACTCCTCAAGGGAATTTATATCCGTTGAGCGTCTGGATCTTGAGGTAAACTCGACCATCATCGGTTACAAGTCACGCCAGTTGGCCGGTAAAGAGAGACACGGCGAGACACTTATAAAGGGCGTCAATGAACTGGACCTCGACG